AACTGGAGATAATTATAGAGACGATTTGTATTCAGGTAGTTTACACTTTTGTTTTTATATATATGCATACTTGTAAAAATTATTTATTATCTTGGAATATAAATCAAGGCTCCACAACGATGAAATTATTTGAAATTATCAACATTTTCTCTTTCATTTGGGTGGTATTTGTTGTAATATGTGCAATGTTAGGGTTTCCATAACATCACGACGGTGTGGAAAATTTTATGACTTGAGTATGACGGTCGAAGAGCACAATAGCAGGGTTAGTGACGATTGTAAAATGACCAGTGATGGTCATCCTTCAATGAAATTATAGGGGTGGTAATTGAAAAAATTGAGGCCCACAGAAACGAAATGGCAAAAACATATTTAGAATGTTGGAAACCATAAAATACGAGTATATACTAACTTAATGTTTGTGATGTGGGTAGGTGCTAAAACGGAACGGTTATTGCTTGCAGCTTAATAATAAATGATGAACTTTTTATGCAAGCAATATCAACATCTAGTAAGGACACATATATTAAGTTGGAAAAGTGAAGTGTAATACATAATAACAGTGCTGTATTCCCAAATTTTCTGAAAAATCGGGTGAGCCATTCTTGATTTGATCAATTGATCATTAATTTTTTTTAACCATTCTGCATAAGCAATTCTAGATAAGGTGTCACCCATAACAACCATATACAGCATTGATACAAACACATTATTCGAATAAACCATGAACTCAGAATAGGGAGCGGAGACGGCGACGGTCACAATTTACGATTGTCTCTGCTTGTTTAATAACTGCTCAATTCTTTGAATGCAAATAATCTTTCTTAGCATTTTGTAATTACAGAAAAAACAGGGTTTTCTTTATATAAAAAATTGCTCCAAAGTAATTTACACCACCTGTACAGTCCGCCAAATTCAGCTTTTTCAAAAAGTTTTACTAAGAAAAATATTAAATAATACAAATTATAATAACAAAGAAAATCATAGCAAATTCATAATCTACGAGTACAGGAGTGAGGGGACATCATCAAATTGTTGGTTAACACAACGTTCCTAATATACATTTAAATTTTGACAACAATCGGTGGCAAGGCGAGTTTTTAAAACTTTGCTTACTTACCAAGCGTAAGCTAAGGAAGTATAGTAATTGAGTCCATCGAACGAATGGCCACTTTTATATTTTCTCGACGTACAGTACGAAAACAGTAGACTCCCGTTTCCGTCTGTCTGTCTGTATCCATTTTTATTAGACATAATCTCCGAAACTGCTGGACTGTTGTTGTCAACTTTTGTATGTATATTAGAAATATCATGGTTAAATGCTAACCGAAATTTGGCTAATCATCCCCACCAACACTTTGATGACGTCATTTCAATGAATGGTATTTTAAAATGAATTGAATATTACACAAAAATATGCTCTGTTTTTTCGCTAAACGTTCAAATTTTCGTAAAAACATTTGCAAGATATAATAACGTTTTATTCCCAACACGGTTTGTACGATCTCGTGCCGCAGTGGGTGTAACAGAAAGAAGGCGACCTGCGGTAATGCGATTGTGGGTTCGATGCCCAATTTGACCGTTTTCTTTTTTTTTTCTTGCATTGGTATAACGCTGTGACTACTTTGCTTTTATTCTGTAACTAGAATTATCCATGTCTTTATATAATAATGATAAAATAAAAATTATAACATAAATAAACACTTGAACTTTAGATTGCTATTATCGAGTGCTGATGGATAAAGGGTGTTATTTATGCCTCTGTTTTCCCTTTACAGCTGAAAGTCGTAAAATCAAATTTTATAATTTTTTAAAGAACTTGATTTGTTGGATTACACTTACAGCCTTCGATCAATTTTTTATTGATTAAATTAAGAACCTCATTTTTTAACCTTGCTTATGCAGGGTCACTCAAAAAAATTATTGTGTCAGTCAAATTATTTTATTGAATAAATCAAAAATTGCAAAACTGAATACTTTGAGATTTTGCAGGCGTTTTAAAGTTATTGTAAGCATGGTAAATTGTTAATCAAAATCTATCTGCTTATTCCCCCACAAAATTTTCTCGAATAAATTCTAGGCAAAATGTGCAAAGTATGATGAGTTTTTACTTGTGATTTATCATTGCATTCATATCTTTTAGACTCGCTTAAACAGGTGGCTCAAAAAGTTAATGAATGAATCAATTTATTTAATTGATTAAATCAGGAACAGCTCACTTCATTTTTCCAGAAAATTTTGGGAATACAATACTGTTATTTTTAATATTTCACTGCACCAATCCAAGTTGTGAAGAATATTTTTTCAGCTAACAGAGGGTGAAGATTCGTTGGAACTTTTCAATGTTATGATCGATACTAGTGTTGCGCGAATAGAAGAGAGATTAAAAAATATACCTAAGATTACTTCCAATTTCAAATTGTCATTCACTGATAACTAATATAAAAATTTCTGCAGAATTAGAAAAACCCTCAAGAAATTTTGGAAAACTGTATGTAATGATGTAAATCAAGACTTAATTGAAGATTTTTTTATCAAGACAACTAAGTAATTTTAAATGAAAACGATGTAAATTCCGTCCAAGACATTTTGTAATGCATTTTAAATAATAATAATTATAACGAACTATTTCCGAATGTAGATATTGTTTTAAAAATTTTCTTTAAGTTGCCACTTTCTACAGCAAGTGCAGAGCGTTCTGTTAGTAAAATAAAATTACTAGAGAATTGTCTTCGATAAAGTGTGTGTGAAGAACGTTTAAACGGACTTGCTACATCGAGTATCGAAAAATAAATTTCAAAAAGTTTACAATTTTTCAATGTTATAAATAAGGTCACAATTTTTTTTCCACTCGGCCCCCTTTGCAAAGAAGACCGGTCCTGCTATCAACATGGTTTTATATCTTACAAATCAACTGTTACTAGTTTGGTGTATAAAAGTATTGACATTGCACAGGGGTCTATCTTGTGTCCACTGTTCTTCGAAATATTCAGCAATGGCGTTACGTCTGGTCTTAATACACACTATTCTAAATCTAAATATTTTGTGATATTCACCGATAATTTCATTAAAGCTTGCAGATTTTATATTTCCTAAAAATTGTGTGTTATCGCTGAACGGTAAATACTTATTTCCGATGTGTAGAAAAACAGCTTTGAAGCTCAGTTTCTAAGAATCGATGAAAAACTTCATTCTCCTGCATTTTATTCATAGCCCAATGCAAACATTTAATTCTCAGTGTTATTGCAAAAGGAAAACCCCTCTTCAGTTGAGAAAATACTGTGATATCTAATTCTCTCACCTACGGATTAACTGTAAAAATAAAACACATGTCTAAAGAACAGACATTACCGTATCTTAGGGAATATGTTTTGATGGGCATTTAAAAATGTGTTACCTAAATTTCGCAAAATGTATATAGATCTCACTGGTTCAAAACCTAGATTATCTCTAATAGTAACAATTTTTATTGTGTATATTTTTTTAATATAAAGTGATTTAATTTGTGCCATTATTTCTGTAATTTTAGAATGAAAATTTATTAAACATATACATGTTTATTAACGACCTTGGAGTTTTTTTCCTTCATTAAGATACATTTATTTTAAGAGTGGCCTGTTCGTTACGTAACTACTTCACCACAAAATTTACAAATTTGTTTTAAATAATCAGAAAACGAATGTATATCCAAATTAGAATCCAATTTAAGCTCATCGAACAAAATATTCGGTTATTTTTTCAGCTGCATTTATTTTGCACTGGATTTAAATTAATGTATAGCCCTTTAGGGTTTATATTTCATAGTTCTGATAAAATTTTACCTGCACGGACTTCGATGCAGCCGATATAGCCTACAAAGAGCTTCAGCAAACACTTTAACTCACCCGTGTGTTCAAGACGGGTCAGAGTGTGCCATAAGGAAACGCGAGCTCGTAGGGATGAAACCGTGAAAGAGGGCACAAAAAATTGCCGCACCACCTGCTCCTCGTACTATCGATATTTTCCTACCTTTACCTTGGCATATGTTTCTAGTTTCTTAACCTCGCGTGTTGTTATCGGGGGACTAGAACGAAGGAAACTCTCTACAACGTAGTGAAATTAATAAAACATAAAGATAGGGGCGAGCAGGGACAACGACATCGTGACACCTGGAATATATACGTTCCTGCGGCAAGACTAGCGATTAACGAACGATACCGCTTAGAAAAAATGTCTTGATATGAAAAGACCCTTCCGAAATGCGTCATAAAAACTGTGGCAGAACGCCTAACAAAAAGCATGTGACATCAAAAGAGAGGTCGAAGGTTTTAAATATGTCGTGGTGCAGGAAAAAACGACTTTTGTTGGTGGAAGGAACTGGTAACGTAGAAAGGAGCTTGTCGAATCGTGAACTACCGTATAAATACAAATTTATGATTCATTTATCGATTAGTACTTTTGTTGTTAATTAAAGCAAATCCGTTAATTTTTCGGTTAATTTTATCGTCAACAAGAAAAAGATTCTATGAATCAGAAAACTCAAAAAAAGTGTTTTTATTGCACCGAAAACAAAACAGCAGCTGCAGATTTAAAAATGCAGTCAAACATAATAAAGAAAAATATAAGTATGTTTTTATTCGTCAGTATAATCAAATATAATTACTTAATTACAGGCTAGACAATCCACAATGACTATAAAAAAGAAATAATCGTTACGATTTTGTCCAATAAACCTTGAGACATTAATTGAAATTCAAAATTTAAGTTTTATAAAGTAAACAAGACATGCATCAGGTTGGTAATTACCCGATTTCCTTCAAGATTGCAGTCATAGACTGATCCTGTCTTCAATAGTTTGAAAATTACTAAATTAGATTCTGTCTAATAACAAAACAAAACAAAAATTAAGAGGAAATACAATTCACAACAAACTTTTTGAAATATCAACACTAATAAAACCTTAACGTACCTATTTATCACGTAATACTGAACTTTACTGATTTTTTTTTTCTTTGTTACAGAACCGTCTCTTATACAAACTCCTCCGTCTGCCATAGCTGCGGCATGTATATGTTCGGCAGTTCGAGGCTTGAAGTTGACGTCGGCGAGTGCCGCAACGAGTGATGTTTGCTCAATGCTGGGCTTGGAGTCAGAAACTTTGGAATTTCTTGTGGGGTTAGTGGACACCGCCGTCGACAAAGTTGTGCCGAAAACCCCCGAGAAAACAACCAAGACAGTAGAAGATTACGAAAGTCCTCAGTATCCACAACCAGAAACGCCGACTGAAGTTGAAAACATCTACTTCTAATTTGTTGACGGTCAATTTGTTTGTTTTAAATGTTAGATTTAATTTTATTGACGAATTTTAGACAAGTTTGAAGTAATGTTGTGTTGCAAGATAACCAAAAAGACAGAATTCAAACTGATGTTGAATTCTTGTAAATTATGATCTCTTTTTTACCAGTAGTATTGAAGATTAAATGTAGTTTAGAATAATGACTTCATCAAGGCGGACGTTTTTGTGAAGGTTAATGTTTGATCTCAAATTCATAAATATTTAAAATAGTATAAAATAGTGTATGGATGTGTACCACGGCGCGATGAAATGTAAATTTGTGGGCATCTCGTATCTTTAAGGAACTCTACTGTGATTCCATCAAACCACTCTAAAATTCTTTTAAATTACTGGTACTTGTGGACGAAAAGCTTTTAAAAAATTGTTTTTTTGGTTTACTTTTTTTTTTGGTTATTGGTTTGTTATCTAGTCTTTAGTTTTGTATTCACGTTAGTTAATTTTTTTTTTCACATATTTATAGTAGCATAATATACTCAAATAGCATTATACTTTATGTATGTTGTATTATTACACATTTACTATGTATTTATTTTTATCTTCTAATAACTTATTCTAAGACCAAAGTTTTTTTAAGTTGAGTACTTAAAGTGTTCAATATTATTTTTTTATATGTAATTTTTATAGGCCATTTTCATAAAATGTACTACAAATCAGAAGTTTTCATTAAAACTGAATTTTTGAAATATCTATACTATTTTTATTTCCCCTAGTTTTAGTATCAAAATTGCATAATTTAAAAATCAATCTTAAAAATTATAATAAATAACAAATAAGCTTATTTAAATAATTTTTGTTGGTTGGAAGTGCTGATAATAGCCACGAGTAAAATCCACCATTAAATCTGCTTGACATTCGGGTAAATCACCAATATTTGTGCCTGGGGATCCTCCATACCTTGTAAAAGGAGGTACGACAGTTTCAGGAGCAAGAACTGTATTATCTTCAATCAGACAACAGTCTTTCAAAATACACCTCCGGCCCTAGAAAAAAATAATTTTAACGAAACGCAAACAATACATTAGAAACATTTACAATAACACAATTTTTGCCTATGTATACATATGATCCCACAACGGCCGCACTCACAACCGAGCGTTCTCCAACAAACACATGATCGCCCATTGTTAGTGGGAAAAACGCCACTCTGAAAATTTAAATGTTCATTTTAAACTCAAAAGTTTAAGAATGCCTTACCCTTTGCTAAATTTTTTGTAAGGTGGTCGTATGACAGCTTCTTTGCTTATTATGCAGTAACGCCCTGTTCGAACGTTTGCTAAGTCTCCTCGAATAATAGCTTCCGCCTGAACTATCACTTTGCCTTGCAATATAATATTTTGAGAGCCGCATAATACTGTTTGACGACACACTTTGTTGCCGGAAGCCTGGAATTTGGGGATTGTTAACGCCTTATTGTCGGAATTGAAGTTCGAAGAAATGAGACTTACCGTTTCAACGTATTCGTTTTTATTGTAGTTTATTTCGCGCAGTTCCATTGTGTTTAAATTATTGAAAACACTTCAATTCTAGATAATTTTGTGTACACTACCATATAACCTAACTTGACAGATGTCAACGTGAGCTGTACTGTCACTTCTGTCACTTTGACAAGCTCTAATCGGATAATCGATGCAAATTTTTGTTGGTTCACGAATTGAAAATTGTTAGGCAACCAGTTATACATGACTCTAAAGAAGAGCCCTGCAACCCACAATACAGCTTAAGAAATCTCAATTGAATTTATAAAAATCTGTAAAAAGTGGAACTTCAAATCGCCGTTTCTAGTCATCTTTTTTATTATCCCTCAATATTATTTCAAATCAAAATGAACAAAATAAAATTACATAATGAAGTTTTTTTCAAACAACACGTGATTGGTTAACTTGAGTTTTTTGAAGAAACTACAAAATATAATAATTGTAATGTATACTTTCTAGATATTTATACACATAGTTATCCATTACAATCTTCAACAAATATTGATCAGTTCAAGTGGCACTACAGTATGTTTTAGAAATAAAAGCACTTACTAATGAAAAATTTTTATTTTCAATAATTATTCTTGACTTGCGTCAACATTTTCCGTCTGCAGTCCCTTGAAAGTTGCAGCAGGGACATACGTAACTAAAGTAAAAAGTTTGTTAACTGAATCCTCATCGTCGTTTCTCCTACGAGACAAACGAACACGAATCCTGAATGGAACATTTCTAAAAAAAAAACACTTAGTATGTATAGTTAATAATAATGATAGTACGAACCTGATTCCCTTGGACCACAACTGCTTGTTTAAACGGGTATCTATCCTCACGTCTGGTGTGCCCATTTGCTGTTCGGCGAATTTCCGGATTTCCTTCACAGCACGAGGGGCACGTTTCTTAAAGCTAATTCCATGTAGCCTTTTGTGAAGGTTTACGGTGTATTCGCGTGTAACCACCTCGTTGATGGCGGATTTTCTGCTTTTTTCACCCTTTTGCTTGGCCATGGTGACTACAACAGAGACATAACCTATACAATCACTCACATTGATTATGATCAAATTGAAAAGAAAATAAAACACAAATACGTGTTGAAATGTACTAAATATGTAAAATAGGGCACCTTTGAAACATTAAGATTAAAGTCTATGTTAAAATAAGCTTGATGATTGCAGATTTACTAAATAAATAAAAATCCAGCAACATACCTTTGACAGTTGTCAAAACGAAGGAATGGTAGGAATTTTCAATACCGACAGTAGCGACACCATTGCTGCGGTTTCTTGATGTTGGTAAGATTGGGCACTACTGAATGGAATTATGTTAGTAACCTGTATATAACACACAATGGTTATATTGTTATTGAACAGATGGTTCTGGATTCTGGATTCTTAATTTATGGGGGCTGACCGTAGCCAGCCGGCACTTAGGCCTCGCCTTTGGGCCCATTGTACCTTCCCCAAGTCCATATCAGGGTGTTTTCCCGCTCCTCTACTCGTCAAGCCATCCAACTGCTTGAATGTACTTGAGTAATGCAGAGGGTGGAAACTCCCTGATATTTGCCATACTAGGCCAGATGTCCCCTAGTATGGATTCCCTGTAGGAGGCTAGGGCTGGACACTCACGAAGAATGTGCTCAGCTGTTTCCTCTTCTTCATTGCATCCACGACAGATTGGGTCTGTTGCTACCCCTATCGTATGTAGATGTTTGTTAAACTGGTAATGTCCCGTAAGGAATCCTACCAGTTTACGCAGTTTGTCCCTTGAAAGTGAGAGATAAAATTTTGTCAACTTACGGTCTGGTGTCGCCATACAAGCTCTACTATGCCGACAGCTGCTCAACGTCGCCCATATCTGCTCATGGCGTCTATGGGTATATTGCTTTACGAGTTCGTTCGAGAGGGCGACCGAAGGCGTGATTGCCGGTTCGGGTCCCCAGAAGGGCATACGCGCGGCTCGCTTCGCCATCTCATCTGCCCTCTCGTTTCCTTCGTTGCCACTGTGTCCTTTGATCCAACAAAGTACCACACTATTCCTCTGCGTTACATACTTTAGCGTTTGTCTGCACTCCCAAACCAGCCCGGATCGAACCATACAGCTGTCCAGGGCTAGTAGTGCAGACTTGCTGTCAGTAAGTATGCGTATTGATTTGTTGCCGATTTCACGTTCAGCAATGATTCTAGCTCCCAGCATTATTCCCATCAATTCTGTTTGTAAGACAGACGTGTGGGTGCCGAGAGGTACACTGATTTGTGCGTTCAGTTGTTCGGAGTAGATGCCGGCTCCTGAACCACTATCTGTTTTGGCACCATCGACATAGATATCTATGTCGGCTCGTCCTTCTGAATTATCACTCATTGATATTCTATATGTCTTCTCATATATTAATTTTGTGCCCATTCGGTCACAACCCATCCTCAACAAGGGTATTCTGTTGAACGCCTCCGTTAAGATCCGAGTGTGCTTCGTTGTGCGGCCTTGCTTGTTCCATACTCCCAGAGAGTGAAGTCTTAGAGACGTCGTCATTGCCGCTTCCTCTATGTAAAGGTTGAGAGGTGCTAAGCAAAGAAGAGTCTCCAGAGCCGCTGTGGGAGTGGTCCTCATTGCTCCTGTAACACTGAGACACGCCATTCTCTGAACGTGTTCAAGTTGCAGGGCTGTTGTTTTTTGTCTGGCTCTGGGCCACCAAACTAAAGCTCCATAGCACAGCATCGGTCTGACTATTGCCGTGTAGATCCAAAGGGCGATCTTGGGATTTAAACCCCACGACCTTCCCACCACCCTACGACATTGCCAGAGAGCCGAGCGTGCCTTTTCTACTTTATCATCTACATGCTTCTTCCAATTCAGTCGCCAGTCCAATACAACTCCCAGGTATTTGACTTCGTCCGAAAGTTGAAGCGTTGTGTTAAATATTTTTGGCATCTGTAGTGTGCCAATTTTCCTTTTCCTGGTGAACAGGATTAGTTTCGTCTTTTCTCCATTAACGGAGAGGGTATGTCTGTTGCACCATTCCTCGACTATTTTTACTGCAGCTTGCATTATCTCACATAATGTATCTGCGTTTTTTCCTGTTAGCAGAATGACTAGATCGTCCGCGTATCCAATTGTGTGGTAGCCAAGATCATTGAGGCGTCGTATCAGGCTGTCAACGACAGTATCCCACAGTACAGGAGAGAGAACTCCTCCCTGAGGACATCCCCTGTCTACAACAGCCTCGATCTCAGTGCCACCTACATTAATCATTACTTCCCTGTTCCTCAGCATACTGGCCACCCACCTACTTAGGGTGGGGTCCACGTCGTGCTTTCGTAGGGCTAGTTCTATGCTTTTGAAGGTCGTTTTATCAAACGCTCCTTCAATATCCAAAAACATTCCTAAGGTGAAGAGTTTGTTCTCCATCGCCCACTCTATACGGTTTACAACTGTGTGTAGGGCCGTATCGGTGGATCTTCCTTGGATGTAGGCATGTTGGTTCGGATGTAGAGGTTGCTTGCTCAAAGCAGTCTCCCGAATCTCTTTTTCGCTTAGTCTTTCTAGCGTTTTCAGCAAGAATGATGTTAAGCTAATTGGTCTGTAGGATTTAGCCAAGGTGTAATCTTGTCGTCCTGGCTTAGGTATAAAGATAACCTTTACTTTTCGCCATGCATTCGGTATGTAGCTGAAAGCCAGACACGCCCGAAGCATTGGCAACAAAATAGGGCGTAGTCTGCTCATTCCCCTCTGCAGGAGGGCGGGATAAATACCGTCAACTCCTGGAGATTTGTATGGGGAAAAGCTGTCCACTGCCCACTCCAGTCTTGCCTCCGTGACTACCTTTGCAGCCAGCGCCCAGTCCTTCGGGGAAGGTTGAGTACCGACTACATCCCTTTTGGAATGGGAGGTAGTCCGTGTGCTGCCTGGAAACATGGTCTGCAGCAAAAGTTCTGCGGACTCTTCTAAGGTGGCTGTAAAGGTGCCATCTTCTTTCTTTAGGAAACCTGGTTGATGTGTGTGGTCCTTCGAGAGAACTCTCTTCAGCCTTGCGGCCGAAGCAGTCGACGTTATGTCGCTGCAGAAGGATCTCCACGTTTCCCGTTTCCTCTTTCTTAATTCTTTTTTAAACTCTTTCCGGTGCTCTTTATAGGCTTCCCAGTCTTCAGTTTTCTTAGTGTTTTTTGCTCTATTGAAAAGTTTTCTTAGCCCCGATTGAAGTAGGCTGAGCCTTCGGTTCCACCATGGTGTACCTTTGCCCAGACCTTCCTTCTTTAGGGGGCAACTTTTCTCATACGCTGACATTAGAGAGTCGTTGATAATGGTCAAGGTTTTCTCTATGTCTTCTGTCGAAATGTATTCCGTTGGTATAGACTGCACGGAGGTCCCCAGTCTGTCGTCCAGTTCTTCGTTGTATAAAGCCCAGTTCGTCAGCCTAGGGTTCCTGTACGTCTTTATCTCCATGTCTATACATTTTGATGTATACATGATCCATCTATGGTCTGACACTGACGCCTCTTTAGAGACGTGCCATCCCATTATATATTGTGAGATATCCCATGTAGCCAGTGTAATATCTATTACTGACTGACTACGTGATGTTACGAAAGTTGGTTCGCAGCCTCGGTTGAGAATCTCTAGTTGAACAGATGGTACAAGAAACGAAATAATTTATAATACACGTAAATAATATTTAAATTGTTTGTCACAAATGTGCACGATCTCGTGTGCTATTTCTATGAAAACATCAAATACTGTGGTTTTTTAAATCTCAAAACTCTGTCAACTACCTAAAATATTTTGCGTCATAATATACAAACAATTTTAAAACAAATTTTTGTCGAGTTTCATTCGATTCCATACAACTGTCCGTCTGGCACCAAATATTTTATTAGACAATTTTGTCACATTCAGTTCGATAAGGTGAAGGAGAGCGCTACAAGTTGTGAGTAGTAGCCTCTGGATGTAAGATGGCGCACCAGAAATTATAATTTCAAAATTATAAACTTTGAAAATCTTATTAATGTTGAGTATTTTAATGAATTAAAATTCAAATATTTTAATTTGCATATCTATATTAGAAACAGATACTTATAATATAAAAGCCAGAAGGATAAGTCATCCATGAGGTAGTGTTGAAATCTTAAGTTTCACTTAATTTATTCAACGAATTTGATTTGTGCCAATACTTCTTTGGCAGCACCATATGTATCAAACATGCCCAAATTGAAATTCTCCAGATAATATTTCTTTTAGTAAATTCATTGTGCTGAAACAATGTAGGTATTATTTTGAAAGAAATCTAAACAACAATTTATTATATAGGTAAAAGCGTTTATTATTTTGTGTAAACACTTGTTTAAATGTAAAAAGTATAAATTATCTTAAAATTACAATCCATTTTCTTTTTTTTTAACTTTAACAGTATCTAAAGGTGGTCATACCAGCCAGATTTTTTTAGTATTTAGTATTGATGGGGTTTCAGTAAAAAGGCTGTTACAACCGTTTTCGGTAACAAAAATATAATTCTGTCAGCGAATTTTTAATTATACCTTCAGGAACTCATTAAATTCAGGTCTCCCAAAAGTTCGGGCCCCACGCAGTTGCGTGTTTTGCGTGGCCGTAAATCCGGATCTACTTTCTAGCCAAACCATCGAACATTCAATTTAAAATTTTAATTGGTAGTAATAAATAGATAGATGGCGGAATTAAACCCTTGGGTTAGAAAATCTCCGATGTTCTTCGAAAAATCAATAAAATGCTGATAGGAAAAGTCAAAGGGTGCTTCATCACTATTTTGAAGAAATCGCATTTGCTGTATGATCATAAAATTAAGAATCATATACAATTCATGGAGTTCTGTCATCGTTTTGAGATAGACGAGTTAAAATTTGGTCTAAAGACAAAACTTTCCCCGTAGCCTAAATACCGGGTGACCATGAATGATTGGAACAATTTTTTGTGTCGGCAATTCTAAATCATTGGCAGCAATGCTAGTATGTCAATTCACGGTTGTCAATTTTGATATAAGCCCGCCTAAAAAACGTGTTAAGGATATTGCAGCTGCTGACTTGGTGTCTTAAATATCAATTTAACAATCAGGTTATAATAAATATTTAAATATGTTGCCAATCTGATAAAAAAAATCACAAGAATTAATAGTCGCTCCGCACAATCAATGGATCAGTAGGAAAACTTTATTCATTATTTTGTAATTATTAATTCTACATTAATATCTTGCTAAAATTTAAAATAAATTAGTTTCGTTAAACAGTAATTAAGTTTAGAATTTTTTAAAGTAACCTGTATAAGTGTTGTTAAAAAATTATACATTTGAAAAT